TGATTATTGTGTTTGAATCTCTTGCTGGGAGAAGTCCCGGCAAATTACTTGCAACATTTATGCTGAGATAGCCCAAGGTTTGTCAGATTTCAAGGGCCATTGTTTTCATCTTATTTCCCACCTCAGTCCAAATATTTGTTGCCTCTAAGCCATTGAATTACTTGGAAAGTGAATTTGTCCCTTGATGATTATGCTAGTATGAGGGTCTATTCTTCTGGGTTTTTCTAGGTCCATCAATTGCATTTGCCTTTGATGCAATTCCATTGTAAGTTTCTTTCTCCTCCCCTTCCACGATCTTTCAGCTGATGTCTCCCCTTCTGATAATACCTTTGTCTAATACTTCATAGCTTTGTGTTTGGTTTGGAGTATATGGCTGGGAACAAGCAAAAACAGTTTCTATATGTTTGTTTGTTGTGAATAACTAGAATAATTTGTTAAATGGTCCCTCTGTGCATCCATGTCTTATGTAAATCCAAAGATGTGATGTGATTTCTGTTGAGCCTGTGCATGGCATACGCATTTAGAAATAAAGACAGACTCATAGGTAGAGAGCAGGATAATAGCTAAGGGAGGGGGAGGTTAGGGGATAGAGAATTGAGCAAAAAGGAAAAAGGACTCATGGACAAGAACAACAGTGTGGTGATTGCAGAGTGGAGGGTATAAGGGGACTAAATAGTAATGCGAAATATACAGTACAAAATTTAAAAAAAAAAAAGAAATCAGAGCTACTCAAATGAAGAAAACGTAGCATTACTGAAATTCGGTAACTCTTTCCAAAGTAAACCTGATGTTTTACTATTACATTATGTTATTGTTTAACCACAGCAGAAGCTGTGAGTGTCCCCTCTGCTCACTCCTCAGGTCACTGTCCCTGTCTGGGTGTCACATCTTGTTCAACGTGAACATGGAGAAGATCAGAAGCTAGGGGGGTCGATGGCTCAGGGGTGACCCTCAAGCAGTCACATAAATTCCCTAGCTCCCTGAAAAAGACATTCAGGTATTTTTTAAGCAGTCTCCCAGAAGGACCCCAGTAGGACTGAACCCCAAATGTCCAGAGCAATGGCTCACTTATTAATCTACACGTTAATGAACTTTTCCCCTTTCCTTATTACTTATTCATTCTCCAGATAAACTACTTGCATCTATAATCTTATCTCAGGATCTCCTGTTAGTAGAAACAAAAGTATTCCTATCTGTCCAAATGGAAAGGAAATAGCAAAAGCTGCGCGGTCCAACAAACCGCTCACTATTCATGTATAAGTAGGTTGTGGACCAGGATTGTGAACCTTCTTGTTAAAAGAGAGGGACCAAATTTATTGTGCCACTCTAGGTGTGCTGTGTATGGAATATGCCTCATACACATGGTTTTATTTATTCCTAAAGGTACTTTCCTCATGAAGTCAGTGTAAGAATTAAATGAGTTAAAGTGTCTGAAGTATTTAGAATAGTGCCTAGTCATTATTAGTAGTACTTACTTTTTATGGATTAAAACATGAGGCTGAAAGATATGAAATATGTTTCTAAGGTAGTGGATGGGGATTCCAACCCAGCTCTGCCTGCTGCCTCTTGTTTTAGTGGTGGTCCAACCCAACTCTGAGTCTTGAAAAGACTCATTTAATTTACAAGTAAACGCTTCTCTGAAATATCAAATATACACCAGGATTATTCAGCATTTAAATAATACGCTGTCCTCATTTAAAAGGTTGACATCCTCACATGAATCATCACACAACATGTTTTTTTTTTAAATTTCCCTTATAAAAGAGCAGCCTTCACCAAATTCTCCACCGGCAGGGATATCTTTTAAAATGTCACATCTCTAAGGGAAGAAATAGATCTACCTCTATTTTTGTCTCCTATCTTAATAAAATCCAATTATGGCAGCAATAACCGCTCATCTGCTCACTATCAGGATCAGCCAGAATTGGACTCACAGGATGACAGAGCATCTGCACCTCCTCACATCACCATCGCAAAAGGGCCTTTCTTTCTGGCTAACATTTAGGCCAACTTTGAATAATTATTCTCAAGACATTGCAATTTCCACCAAAACTTATTTACGTGTTTCATGTGACAGATAGCCCTCAACTAATTGATCTGATACAATGATCTGAATGTCTTTTTTTTCTCTGTGTTGGTGGTAAATTTTTAATTCTTGTTTAGAGACTGCTAGGAAAGAAGAATTAATCCCATATCCTTTTTTTTTTTTGATATTTCATTTGTTTTAATGTTTTTATTTAAAAAAAAAATTAAAGACCTTCATGGCACAACTTCTTCCCAGCACAGTTATGTTTTAGTTATACCAATTACAATATGATTACAGCCAATAAATCGAGAGGGAGAGGGGGGACTTCTGACTTCAAACTTAAAAATGGGGGGAAGCCCACTTAAAACAAAGTTAAAAATTACTTAGAAAACCTTTCAGAGTAACTGCCAACACAACTGTTTTATATTGGCATTCCATTTCCTGCCATCTGATCAAAACAGACACAGGTAGTGCTGAGAAATAAAGTGTCCCAATACAAGGTATACAGATGAGGTAACTTACACCAACAAAGAAGTTGTTACTCTGTAAACCCTTGCCCCCCACCCACCCACCCAATTGAGTCTTTTTTTTTTCATGCTTCTGCAGTGACTCCTTAAGTAGCATTTTAAAAACTTCTATTTCTTTTAAAAGGCTCTTGGGCGGCATTTCAGAGTCCTCTGCATTCACCTTCAATTTCTTGCAAGGTCTGATGGGTGTTTGGAGGTTCATCTGTCTGTAGCTCCCCACATCAGCCTCTGCTACACCTAGATTCTGAGCTACAAGGATGGGGGTGTGAAGTCTTGATTTACAACAACCCTCCTCCCCACCTAAAAAGAAAGAATTTTATTAGTCATAAGTGTCCTGTTCAAATCACAATCCAGTGCTAATGTAATCACAAATTGCATCTCTGGCACATCTGGTGCTTTTAGCTTCTGCACAAATTCAACATGGTAACTAACCCCCACAGCATTCTAGGGCATAAAAGGGTCAAGAACAGTAAATATCCACTATAAGTGGCCACAAGGAAAAAACCACCCTGCCACACAGTCAGAATGTTTTCCCTACAGTTAAGAAGCATTATAAAAGGAGGCTTCAGCTTTCTCTAAAGTTCACCATTATATTCACTAAAGCCATCACCTTGATAACGTTACTAGAGCCAAGATGGGTTACAAAGTTAGGTAAATTCATTAAATTCAACGCCTCATATAATTACATTTACCTATGATGCCCAGGTGAGAAAGGCTTATGAATCTATAAAGGTAGGAGAATGGGGAACTAAGACTTTAGGCTTTAAAATGTTGGAAGAATTTTTCCTAGTCCCCACAAGCAGCTACTGTAATGAAATTAACAGGAAAAAATACAGAGCTGATGGTTTTGCTATTGTGCTTAAAAAACTAGGCTTCCTCAGTGAAGCACCCGATAAACTTAGGTGGTTGGATTACAGTGGAAAATCCACTTTACATACACACAAACACACAAAAACTGATGACTTTTTCCATCCTCAATCCCTGCATTGCTGAGACACAAAATGAATTTTATAGCAAAGGATCCTTAATCCCCAGAGACGCTTTGGCTTGTGGTGTTTTTTTAAGGCCTCTCTGCCCTTCCCGGTACCATGGGTCAAACGAGGGGTGTATAAAAATGGGGGCTTAGGAAGCCTCCACGATACAGGGCTGCAGGCCCCTCAGATGTGAACGTGAGATACCCACCCAGCGAGACCTTTACACAGGGAACTTAAATCTAACCTTGATAAATAAAACCAAACGTTTATTTACACCAAAGAATTCCAACACTGGATCTTTCACATAATGAAGGACAAAGTATTATATATACACACAGCAAGGGCTGTAACAAGAGAGTTTATAGTTTTCCCATAATTACAGGTCTACCATTTCAGTTTCACTGGAGACAGTGGCTCTGCTCCTACCTCTCAGATACATTTACAAGACTGAGGGGCAGGTCTTCTCACTGGATGGCATGTGAGGATAGGGGAAGGTAAGAGGAAAAGAAGGTAGAAAGCTTAAAATGAAACAGTGTGGCCACATCTCCCATTAGCTCTTAAAGCATTGTTAGCAAGAAACCCATATAAACAAGGTTTTTTCTTTTGTAAAAAGCAGTAAGTTACACCTAGTAACTACCTGAATTCAAAATGGCCAAGTCAAAGAAAACTGAAAAAGATTTTGCCTTCTCCCTCCTACCAGCTATATAGGTTGGGAGACAAAAGAGGAGAGGACCAAGGTAAAGAGCCTGGAAGGGAAGGTTATTCAAGTTTTAAACTAAACTGAAACTGAACTTATAAGTGAGTTAGCTTTAGGGTCAGGTCAATAAGACATGATTTATACTGAACAGAAGTTTTCAGGACTTGGGGTAATTTTTCAGCATTTCAATTAACTATTAAGACATATTTCCATTAAATTCACTAGGAGAACCCCACTGAAGCACTTTTGGAGTTAGGTGATGGAAATGACTAGCAGGATGCTGCTTTTATAGTTGGGTCCCCCTTCCTTCCTACCTCCCTTGAAGAAGCTACATTTTTGTAATCTCTGAAAAACAAAATGAGGTACAAAACCCCCAAAGTGTGGGATGGTAGGGGAGCAATGGTGGGCATGGGAAGAAATCTCCACCCAACTGCAGCTGCTGGAACTGAGGCTGGTTTATCTTTGTTCTTTAGTGATGAGGAACTGAATTTGGAAGGGGAGAAAAAAATTTGTCCGTGAAATATTCCACCTGCAGGTAATTTTTCAGGGAATCCCCTGAGTTATGAAAAGTTTGAATTTAAAAAAACAGGAAAAAAAGATACAGAAAATCAGCCTATTATAATTTTTTTTATGACTGAACTACTATAATTCCACAAGCAACAGTTCAGACACGGTGCTTCTTCAGTATTTCACCCCTCCCTGCCAGGCGCAAGCTGCATCAAGGAGAGAGTGGACTCCTCCACCTCTGCTCAGGCATCAGGAGACAGAAGGAGCCATTACTGCTGGGCGCCAGCGGCAGCTGGGACAGGCATCCCGAGGGGGCTGGCAGCAGCAATCACTGGTGAGCCCGCCAGAGGTCCGAGGGGCGAAGGGGTTGGCACTGAAGAAATCCCTGACATCGTACTGGCGCTGCTGACAGGCGTACGGCCTCCTGGCATGCTAGATGAGCCCGTTCGAGCCTGGTCCTTAACAACAGTATGGAAATAGGGGTGCTCCGTGGCTTCCCTTGCAGTGAGCCATGACTGGTGATGGTGTCGCAGCAGCTTGTCCAGGAAATCCAAGGCCTCAGGGCTGACAAGGTGCTGGTTTTCACTGTGGACAAAGTGTTCCCATCGCTTATGGGAGTGTCTGCCCAAGATATCATTGAAACGTGGATCTAATTCAACGTTGTATTTGTTAATATAGTCATATAAATCTTCTCTCCCCAGTACCTTGGCTATCCTCACCAACTGATCGTAATTGTCCTGTCCATGGAAAAATGGCTCCTTCCGGAACATCATACTTGCCAGCATACAACCCAAGCTCCACATATCCAAACTGTAATCGTACATCTGAGAGTCTACAAGTAGCTCAGGACCTTTGAAGTAGCGAGAAGCAACCCGGACATTACAGTCTTGGTCAGGACGGTAAAACTCAGCTAAACCCCAGTCTATTAGCTGTAGCTTTCTGTGCTCATGATCAATCATGACATTATGGGGCTTCACAGCTCTGTGCATAATTCCCATGCTATGACAATAATCCAGGGCCTTCAGAATCTCATACATGTAAAATCGAGTATCATAGTCTGTTAACGTCTGGTATAATTGCTTGAAGTCTGTGTTGTTTACGGGTTCAAAAACCAAGGCGGAGGTTCGCGACACAGGGTCTTTTACAACGTCTGCCAGTGTGATGATGTTGGGACCGCCTCGCAAATTCTCCAAAATCTTTACTTCGCGCTTGATTTTCTTCTTCTTTACTGGCTTGAGAATTTTAACAACACCTTTTTCATTATTTGTGATGTTGATGGCTTCAAATACTTCACTATATTGACCCCGGCCTCATTTCCGAACCGGCCGGTAGCCATCTTGATTTCCCCATTCCACCCAGTACTCCCGGGGTCTGGGCGGGTTACCGGCCGCGTGACAGAACTCTGGCCCTGCCGGGCACGGGTCCCCACACGTCAGACAGCTTGGCGAACACAGCTGAACGTGAGGTTTGGCGATCTGGCGGTCACCGTGTCCAGAGGCCACGGGGAGCGAGGGGTGTAAGACTTCGTTTCAGAAGGCTTTTCCTCAAGCTGTGGTGCAAGCGGCGGCCATAGCGGCCGCTCTCCCCTCTCCTCACACAGACAATATGGCGGCGGCGGCGGAGGAGGCGCACGGCTCCGCCGCCAGCCGCAGGGACCGGAGCGAGGCTGCCTAATCCCGCATCCTTGACCCAAGGGATCTCTCTTGTCTCTGGGATGGTTGTCATTGATTAAACGCAAAACTTCCAGAGCAAATGAATAAACCTGGCTAGCCTTGGGGGTCCAGCCTTGGGATCATAGTGATGTTGATACTCAAATAGTTCCCATAACAAAAATCACACTGGCTTATTAAAAAGCCTCTGGAAAGTACAGATTGTCAAAAGAAATAATTGATGAGGTAAAGGCAGGGGGAGAGGTTGATCATCTATAATCCCATCAACAAAAAACATTGATATGCCCCAGTCAACATGTTAGTGCATTTTTAGTGGAACAATCACTCTAAATTTTGTATATTTTTAGTTAACTTAACTTTGTATCATGAACATACTTGTTATATATTCTTTAAAACATAAATGTGAAAGTATTTGCAAGATTTAATTGAATAGAGAGACATGGTTTACTCAGTAATTAGCCTATGGTTGGACATTTTGATGGTTGCCAAGTTTTTGGTATTATAAATAATGATGTGAATTTCCTATGTTTAGATTATTATATTAGGCTCAAATCTTTAAAAGAGAATTATTATATCAAAGGCGTAAACAAGTGTAATCCTTTTGATAAATATTGCCAACTTGACAACTCTATCTGTATATACTCAAGCTTGACTCTTGGAAAAATTTTAAAGTTGCCAGTATGGCTAACGTTTCTTTCAAAACTCTTCCCTCTGCCTCTCTTCCCTCGTTGTTTCTTTGCTCTTCATTTTCCACCTTGACTCAGTCCATCTTCTTGCCTCCAGTTGCCCACCCATCTCAAACCCTCCATCCTCACTTCCCTAAGTCATGTCTCTCCTGACTCTGTTACCAGTCATAGAGTTCCTTTCTCATGAAAACTTAGGTATTTATTATTACATGACCTCAGTTACTATCCCTATCAGATCTTTACATTTTAATGCAAAGAAATAAGAATATGGGTGTTGTACACTTTGTGCTCAAAACTATGGGAAAAAAATTAGGACGAGGATCTCTCCAATGGTGTTATTTATATTCTACTACCTAGAAAGTTATTAATCTGCCTATTGGTTTTGAAACAACCTTCTTTTCAACAGGTCAGTTTTGATGTATATTGACATTTTTCTTATGGTCTCTCCTCTTATGGGTACACATCAGCAATATTTAAGCTGAAGGAAATTCTGATTCTCCAGGTGGGAGACTTGGAGGTATACTGTAGAATATTATGAGTTCTTTTTCCCTTTGTACAGTTTGTCAGGAATAGTCAATGACTGATGTGGGTGTAAAATTATCTAAACCAGCTTTGATTCACAGTGTACTCCTGATGGACTTCTAAGCTTGTTCAAATGTCAGGGAACTGGTTGGTGGCTGTTAATGTTTTCCTAGCAACAACTCATATCTTGTTTCCACCAACATGGAGAAGAAAATAATAACAGGAAAATATTAAGGCAAACTTTGAAATCTGTTATTATACAGCTAAAGTCACTTCTAATAGAAGAAAGGGGAAAAAGCCCATACTAAAACATTAGGGTAAATTTCAGACCATAACATTTATCAGTTAGACTATGATTAGAAATGATTTCCCTCTCTATTCCCTATTCCAAACTGTTTTTAGATCCATTTACAGTGTAAAATGTTAACAAATTATATTGAAGTCCATATTCAACTGTAAATCATGTCATTAAAGATGGAACACTGAGTGCTTACCTAATCTAGTCACTAAGTACCCACTCTTTATGACTCAGGGGCCCATGTAGATAGGAACTGCCAGAGACCCTGTGATAGAGCAGATGGAGAAACAACAATACCAACCTGTTGAAAATGGATGAGGGGAAAGCTGTCCCAGGATTTTAAGGTGGTTCCGACAATTGAAGCAAGGAAAATTTATTCCACACTTAAAGATTATAAGACTATAGCCCATCTGGAACATGTCTTGAGCTGCCAAAGGATATTTCAGGCACAACATGTTCATGTCCTCATGCTGTGTGATTTTCCCCTACTTGAATGCCTAAATAGAACCTAAAATGAACAGGTTGTTTAACCTACCAAAATTTTTCCTATGCAAAAACCTACACATGTAGCTCCACGTAAGGCAGGAATCATAGTGGTTCCACTATGGGTCTGGAGCCTAAACTCATAGTTATAACCAGCTCTGTGATCTCAGGCTGATTGATAAGCTTTCTAGGCATCAATTCACTCTTGTAAAATAGGCTTGTGAGTGAAGATTAAACAAGATAAATTATGGGAAGCCCTTGGCCCGGTATTTGTTATAATATAATGAGGTCTGTCCATAAAAAGTCCAGTCATTGTTAATGTAACAAGAATGGTTTGCATGACAATGATGTAACCTGGCAGCCAGGGAGAGTAGACTGGAATGTGCATGAATGAACAATGACGACTTCACTGTACTAGTCAGTGGGGGTTGTGGATGCTATTGAGTGAACATGTATATAGTGTTCCTGTCACATTCAAAATGACTGAGTGAGTAGAACAACAAATCTGCATCAAATTTTGCATTAAGCTTGAACATTCCTCCATGGAAACTATTCAGATGGTTGAGTTCACAACTATGGGCAACTGTGATTGGCAGCATCATCATGACAACCTGACTATACATGCATCACATCTCCTGCAGAATTTTTTGGTGAAACATCAAATCACCCAGGTGACTCAGGCCCACTATAGCCCAGATTTGGCACTCTGTGACTTCTGCCTTTTCCCAAAACTAAAATCACCTTTGAAAGGGAAGAGATTTCAGACCATTGATAAGATCCAGGAAAACATGACAGGGCAGCAATGGTGATTGGGAGAACAGTGTGAGGTTCCTAAGGTGCATACTTTGAAGGGGACTCAGGCATCATTGTCCTATGTACAATGTTTCTTGTATCTTGTATCTTCTTCCATAAATGTCTGTATTTTTAATAGTACATCGCTGGATACTCTATGGATGGACCACATATATAAGCAATCAATGTTATTGTTACTACTATTCCTTTCTGAAAGCACATAGGCAGTCGATCTCAACTTCAAGCATTTTCTATTTAATTCAGTTTGTCCCCCTAGCCTCAGGCAGGAATATTGTAAGAAGGATACTATACATATTTGCCATATTGAGAAACCTGTGCTTTGGACCTGACATGCTGCTCTTCAGGTATACCAGAAAACTTCAAACAAGAGCAGTGAATTTGTAGATAGTTAAAAAAGAAGGATAATGTGCTAGCTAAGAGCTGTGTTCCCCAAATTACAAAGAGCTAAATTTAAAGTCCTACTTTGCCATTTGGGCAAGCTACTCTACTCCCTCCCTGGTGCTTCAATTTCCTCACCTGAAAAATAGAGATGATGATGGCACATACCTTATTATGTCTTGTGAGAATGTATGAAATAATGCATCCAGGTTCTGTAAAGCCTGGAACCTGGGATATAATAGATTCACCACAAATGTTAACCACTTTTATATTAGGGGTACAAGGAGGGGAGGGAGGAAGTTTAAACAAGGAGAGCTATTAGAAAGAATTGCCCTCCCGTGCCTTTAAATGACGACTGTCTATTAACTGAAAGATTTAGCAATATAAAGTCATCACATTTTTTAATCTCTTTATAAATATTTTGTCACTTTAGGTGCTTGCATATTTGACTTATTAAAGAAGTATCTCATCCTGGGAAGATCTGTTCTAAGATAAAAAAATTCTAAGTATTGGTGAAACTAAAAGTTTTTACATATATTTTATCCACTAAATTGTTACATAATTGCTGTTATTTAAAATAGTATCAATATAGTCATGCAAATGAGTATGAACTTATTATTTTTCCTTTTTTTTACCTGTGTCTTATTTTTTGAAGAAAATTGAACACTTATCATCTAACAGTTTCTTCTTCTTCCAAGAGACTTTGATTCTAACTTTCAGTTCTCAAAAAAGAGGAGTAAACTGTGACACTTCCAGGTGAGCTCTGCTTACAAACTAACATTTACTTCAATGTTTCTTTTTTTTAATGCTGAAATCACTGAATTTTCTCTTCATTTTCTCTTTACTATCCAGTTTAAATTTCACATTCTCTGTCTTTTTCAGTCCAATATGACAATGTTTCTACTGATAAAAATTCTCAAAAAACTTGTGTGTCTCCTGTGTATATCATGGAGATTCACTCCCTTAGACAAGAGGTTCCCTAACAGATCTCTTCTAGCTAATCCCATCTCAGTTTTTAGCTTCTCCTGAGATTTCTGAGGGGAACTAACCCTAATCTCTTCATGTAGCCTTTGGTGTGACTGGACACTGACTGTTTGAATAAAAATAGGCTAAAAATATCCCAAATCATCAAACCCTGGTTATTTTGTGTTTAACAGTTATTCCTCCATTTATCACCTCTCAAATTTTACTACAAGATGCAAGAAGACACAAAACCACACCATTGCTTAGAATTTTCAGTTTCATCATTACAAGTTCTGCTTTCCACACTACTAAAGGACACAATTCTGCTCAGTTTATTGCCACTGTATAATGAAGATACTCTTTCCCTCAGTTTCCAGTAATATATTTCTCATTTTCTTTTACACTTTCATTAGCAGAGTCATTAACACCCATATAGTTGTATTTTCAGTCTGTTTAAAGCAATCCAGGCATTTTGTATCTGCTTCTCAAATTTTTTTCAGCCTCTTCCCACTGCACAATTCCAAATCCACTTCCACATTATTAGATGTTTGTTACAGCAGCACCCCACACTCAATACCAATGTATTTGTTTTGGTTTCCTATTACCGTTATAACAAATTACTACAAACGTAATGACTTTACAATACAAATTTAACCTCTTACAATTCTGTCTGTCAGAAAACTGACATCCCTCACTAGGCTAAAAATCA